CTTTCGGAACTAGTTCAAATTTTAAGAGATGGAGAACTTTAACTAGCATCATGCCGGTGGAAATGCATCTTCAAAGCTGACGATTAGCTAGTTGGCCACAAGGCCAGGTGTGGAAACTTTGGAACAATTTAGACAAAAACAGGATTTCGTTTAATAAATCTATAGACAATTTGGGACAACTGTTTTCTTTATTAACCATAAGAAATGTTATGATTTGTCAGTGCCATCTACCCTTAAGGCTCGTTTATCTGATCTTTTTCCATGCAATGTGATCAAATATTACCATTCCAAGGATATGATGAACAATGTGCTTGATCTTACATAGAATTTTCAATTTTAAGAGAGTTCTAGCAATAAAGGAAAGTCCAAATTAAAGGGCATTTTTTTTTTATTGCATCTCCATCTTAAAAACATAAGAGGGAAATAATTCTCTTCAGTAATCAGCTTCCCTCAACCTCTCTCAAAAAAGAAAAGGACCTTGAACAAATGTTACTATTCTAATGAAAAGAGAAAATTGTCACCAGAAGCTATGTGTGAAGAGAATAGGTTTTATGCGTCTCTTACAGTACCTCAAAAATGGGTGCATAGACTCCTGAATTCATATAGGTTTCTGGAACTTTCCATGTACCCACACCCTTCGCATGCTCTTCCCATTTCGGCGATTCACTGACTTGACACAACAATATTCAACTTCAACCTGCGGGGTAGTTGTCATTCAACAGTAAACATAATATAGCAATCAAATGAAAATATGAATTTCAATATTGCTCTGATCTTACAATTATACAACAGAGAAGAGTACCTCGATGAAGCCAGCACCAACAAAAAGACTCCTGACAGTATCCAGACAGAAGAAATAAGAATAGGTGCCATCTGAACGCATGTACTCCCTGAACCCTACTCTTTGATCTGGCTCAAACCGGAGCATAGTCATGTCATAGAGGCCTGGAACATCAGCAAGCTTTATATATGAATTCTGAAACAGTCCCTTCAATCTGTTCTTTCATTTGGGAAGGAGAAATTTGATTTTGATTGGAAAGAGAGAACTACAGATCAAATCCTAAATTTGAATGTCCAAATTTCACTATAACACTAAAAAAGGTATTTATTAATGCCATACCATAATCTCTAAATAAGAGCATTCCACCAGGCTTCAATACAGAAAAGCACTCTTTAATGGCTCCAGGCATCCTTTCAAGTGGTACTGCAGATAGTGTAAATATCTGATTCAATATAGAACAAAAGAAGCAATTCGAAGTCAGAATTTTTTTATATCTATTATTCAAGTAAGATAATGAAGCTGAAATTAGTTGCTCAATGAATCAATTGATACTTGACAGTGTGAAAGAAAAAGGCATACCAAGGTAACAAAGTCCACCCCACCAAGGCAACATGTGCTTTCTTCCATAGAACATAAATCATTTACATGGGTTCCACCATGTTCTTTCACATCTACAGAAGAAAACAAAGATTTCAAACCCTGCAAAGTATGCATGATTAACCCAAACTAAACTAAGTGACAGGAGAGAGATTGGGAAGTTTACCAACCTGAAAAAGAAGTCTGCCTGTTCTGTGCAAATTTTTCTCTGCAAGAGCCGCATGACAGCCATTTTGGAAACCCAAATGTAGCAAAATCACAATAGAAAGGATGGAAACGATGTTCCAGTGAGACTATGTTACTCGCAGCTACAAATTCTTTGGCCCTTTCTAAAGTCTCATTGCTACAGTCGCAAGCATATAGTATAATTGTCTTATTGCCCCTAAAAAGTAATATCTTTACGTAAGAATAGTAGACAAGAAGCTAAGCTGGTACATGAATCAAGTGTTTATTACAATATGTAAGCACCGTGAAAACTTTACAAGTCATTTCCAATATTTTCGTTAGCAAAGAGTAGCCTTGAAAACTTCTCAACTCAAGGGTCTCACTGCCATTGCTACAGCCACAAGCATATAGAATAATTTTATTATTGACACTACAAAATATAATCCATATGTAAGAGCAGTAGACAAGAAGCTAGGCTACTACATCATGATCATGTGTTTATTACAAGATGTGAGAAAATGATTTGAGTAAAGTTCAAATAAATAGTGTAATCACAAAAACCAAAAAAGCCAGTTAATTAAAGAACATAGGGGAAAGATGTTCCAATCATTTGACAAAATCATTTAAAGCCAAACCAACCCAACCCAAATCATCACTAACAAATCAAATTCTTAACTTGTAAACAAAAATTGTTTGATAAATAGAAGGAATGCAAGAATGTAATGGGAAAGGAAATTTACAAAATTTGGATCAAATTAGAGAGTTTCACCAGTAATAAATTTTCCTTTGAAAATTTTCAACAATCTCCATGAGAGAGAAAATAATTAATTATCATAACATAAAATTTGATGTTACCGCAATATAGGAAGCGCAGTGCTGCCATTTCCACACCCAACTTCCAAAACCCTACAAAATTCTCCACAAGAAACCAGTTCTGGGAATTCCTTCAACAGATACCTTCTCTCCTGCATCAAAAAAGTACCCACTTCAGATTACACATAAAAAAATTCAAAAAAAAAAAAAAAAACCCAGAAAAGAAAAGAAAGCAATGAATGGGATTTTGAGAAAAAAAAAAACCTTGAAGAACTTGCCGGAGGAATGTTGGATGTGGAAGCGTTGCCATGCTCTTATCGATTCCGGTTGCCTTGTTGCTGTTGTTGCTGTTGTTGTTTCTTGTTGTGGGAAATGGAAAGGGAGAAGATGGTAGCGAAGAGAAGGATCGTCTTCTATTTCTTGTTTCAGAGTTGCCCATTCGAAGTCCTTTGAATGGTATTCTTCTGCTTCTGCTTCTTTCACTCCATTCATTTTTCTGCCTTCACTCAACCTAAATGGGATACCTGACCATTATTTTCTCTTCTACCTTTACAACCATTTTGCAGACCCGGATCGGGACCTGGACCGAATTTTCCAAATGATGATATATAAATTAAAAAAATTAATTATTTTAATAATATATTATATTACAAAAAATGAGATAAAAAATTATACAAAAATTATTTTTTTTTCTCATAAATGTAGAAAATCGTACAG